ATACAAATTATTTAACAATGAACTGCAGGAAAAATTTCTGAAGGTGACGACCCAATACATTGCAGCTAGGTTGAAGGCTAAATAGGAATTCCAAAAAAAATTTGTATTCTATAAAGCATGGCGTCAAACAGCAAGAAGGAGCAGAGAAAATCTCTACACTAAAAATCCAAAACTGCTATCAGTAGACGACAAAGTGAACTAAAAATTAACGAAAAGTTTAAATTTTAGAAAATTCGAGTTTTCGCTATGTAACATGTGATTCTTTCAGTAACTGTCGACCGGGATAAAAATTTTTCTTGGAGAAGAAGAGATTTTAAAAGGGGAAGGAAAAAGAAGCTCGAGCAAAATTTCTAACATTAAGAAGAGGTGTGCATGGTCGGGATCATCTTTTCTTCAAAATAGGGTGACCATTTTTGGAGATAAAGTAAGAAAGCAATGCATTTCCTACACTTGCGCCGACCATGCTCGCCACGTATATAAATTCATCCGTTTTTTTTTAGTTTTCACACACTTCAACCACAATTTGAATTAAAGCTTACCAAAAAATATTTTGCAAAATTCTCCGGAGGCAGATTCTCCAACTCTCTGTAATCCAAAGAGAATTGCCGCAAAGTAGTTGGCACTTCAAAATGTACAGTTTCATTTGCACTAACATTTGTGTCCTCTCTGGTTTTTACCTGAAATTTTAGGCAGATTAGCAAACAAAAAGAGGAACAACAACTTCCCCACACAAGTTTAAATAATATTTGCAAACCGTCTTTTCCGGCATTGATTCCTTGATTTGTTGCGGAATTTCAATAGTAAATTCAACAAATTCCGCATATGAACGTATCTCATCACCTTTTTCCACACATGGCACTTCTATCACTTCAGCATCGAGCTAGCAAAAGAGAACAATTATGATGTTATCTAACTTAATGTTTCCTAAGTCTAAACAATGTGGAAAATCAGGGTCATCGCCTCGAGCATCATTTCGAAAAAGTAGTCTTACCTGTTTTGCAAGTTT